TTGGTAGAGTCGTCGTTTCTCAACAGTAAGATTGGGGGTTCGATCCCCAGCTCCTGCAGCAACATGTCCGATGTGTCCTTGGGCAAGACACTTAATTGCTCCTTCTGCTTCGTCAGCGGTGTATGAATGTGCATGAATTGGACTAGTTAATTGTGATAGTCTCACTAGCGACCTCTGCCATCAGTGTGTGAATGTGTAGGTGGACTTGCGGAGTATAAGTGCTTTGAATAGTAAGAAGACAAGAAAAGCGCTATACAAGCTCAATTCCATTTACCATTTTTAAATAAAATGAATCTACTAAAACTACACAGCAGCAGTCTGGTTTTGCCAAATGAAATGGGTATGTGTGAATGATAAATGCCGTTGTTGGGTTTGCAAACAGACCTACATTTGACTATCAGGATGCATCTCTCCTGGTTAAGGGATTTACTGTATCTATCCTTTATAAAGTACATTTCCTGTCAGTAAAATATAAAACACAAGATTTAAGTTATAAGACATCGGTAACTTTCAGATAATTATTTTAAGTCAGAATTGCAGAAATGCAGTAAAAGCAGAAGCAGGCCTGCAGCCTGCAGTCAAATGCTGCCACTGCTCTGATAGCTTTGCTGAAGAATCATTTTGAATGCATCATTATCAAGCTGAAAACATACCCGGCCGACAGCGGCACTTACTGCTCCCAGTAAATCAAACCTCCCACATAACGGACAGCAGCTCTTTTGGGACTTAGTATGTACAAACTGAGCTCTATGGACAGAACGCTATGTATGCAGATAAATGAGTTGGAATACACAGTCTCATAGTCACATTGTTTACCATCTAGATTCTGTGTGTGGGTAGTAATCTATTACTGGTTGAGCTGTATGGTATTCTGTGTGACTGTATAATGGCAGATGTATTACATGCTGCCACGCTGATCTCAGGCAGCTTGGAGACACTATTCAGACTTATCGATTGCATTTTCTCTCAAGCCCTTTTTTTATTTAATCTTACATACACATTTTTACAGTGTTTTTAGTTTGTGTTTAATGAGTACAGCAGCTCAAAACAGTAAATTATTAATATGACACAAAAAGATGCAGTTTAGGTTCTGTTGGCAGAAAAACAATAACGTAATGTTAGCTGGATATGTTGTGTTTGTCAACTCTCCAAAAGAGAGGACTGAGTGATTTTAGTCATATCATCAAAGTAAAACCTTCATTGTTACAAATGTAGTGTTTAAATACATCTGCCTTTCAGAAACATCAAGGAACTACTTTTAAAAAATACCTTTCATTTACGGTGTATTTTCTAGATCTCTGATTTAATTTTGTGGTATTATTTGCATTTCCTGATGCAAGAATGTCAGTATCAAATCTATGTATATGTCAGTGTGTGTGTGTGTGTGTGTGTGTGTGTGTGTGTTTTCATACATTTATTTATGCCTGCATTCCTTCACTTTCATTCAGATAATATCTTCAGTCAGATACAGTTTGTTAAAGAGTGAAGATTTCCTTTGCCGACTTGTTTTATGAGGCTTATAACGTAAAGTTCACTATGATTTTTGTCCCTTTGCACACATTAACAATCAGTGCGAGTTATATAAAAAGGCTGAAAATAGACGAGTCTTTCATTCTGATAGAAAAATACAAACATTCATGTGGCTGTAGCAACAATATGAGAAAATGTGATTTACTAATCACAAGAGTAGAGGCACTTAAAGAAAGGCGATGTAAATCTGTTGGTGCGAGATGTCAAGATTTGATTTTGGGGGGAAAAAAGTAAAAAGTTAAGAAAAAAGCTTTTTCAAAAGAATAAAGAATCTGAAGCTTGATTGATATTCCCTTGAATGCAGAAAGAAAAAAACTTCATTTAGGGAAGTAAGTCAAAATGGAATGATCTGCTTTCAAGAAAGAAGCCTTCACTTCACATTGTTTGCTTTTATATTAACAACAAAAAAATATATTATATTTGATGTAACATTGAAAAGAAATAATGAAGGAACTTAGAATAAAAAAACATAAATGTATGTACTTAGCTTCGCTGTTATAGTAGTTTAACTTATTTTGCGCAGAAGTAGAAAAAGTAATTCTGACAGGAAGTGAAACAGATTTTACAAATCCTGAGACACTTCATCCCTCGATCTAAAAGATACAAAGTGCAGCCCTCCAACCAAAAGAGCAAACGTCTAACTACAGCTTTGACTTTTGCTGCTTGTTGATGATGGAGGTGCCAGGACAATGTAACTCCCATGAAAAGTCTAAAAAAAAAGTTTTTGGTGTAGACAAAGAATGAATAAAAACAAGATTTTAAAAACAAAGTAACAAGATAGCTAACATGAACCGCCATCGACCCCCTCCCAAGGACAAGTAGTTCATTTTTCCTCTGTAAACATGCCGTTGAGCCAATTCAAATCAGCAATCAGAGAGGAAAAAACCGTCTGATGAGAACAGAACAACAGCTTGTTTCACCTTCTCCTCACATCCTTTCTATTCAGCACCAGATGTACATGTTGTATAACATCCACGTAACTCCACAAAGTTGGGCTCCAGCTCTGAATTCATCCAGTCAAACATTTCATGTGCATGAGCTCAGAGCGAGGAAACGTCTCTCATCAAGTTAAGATTGAAAATGTCTGGCATACTGAATCAATTAGATGAAGCGGCGCAGGCTCAGTTATTACAATCTAGATGTTATAACACTGCTGTCAAAATGAAGGAGATTCACTCTTCACGCTGGTTTTACACAGAACACTCAAAACTCTAATCCAATTCTTCCAGCTCTTTTCTCAGGACTTGAAAGACAATCCATCTGTTCCTCCTGGCCGACGTTCAATCACAGCGCCTTCTGTTGTGTGGGCCGGAGGTGAGTTAAATGTTTCTACTGCATCTCTGACAGCAAGGGGACTCTGGGACATGGTGGCATCTCGCTGCTATAAAGATCACGGCTGGAGTCCTAATTCATCACCCCAGGCATCATCAGGTGGCATTACAATATGCTAATGCAGCGACGACGTGGCCTCGCCTCACTGTCACCTTTCTCCTCTCTCTTTCATCCCTCTCCGTCTCCCTCCACCCTCTCCTACTCCTTCTCCCCTTGGGGGTGAGCCCACCAGGGGGGCTTGGTGTGATTTGCACCTTTCTGGGGCGGGGGCTGAATGTGATGTCTTAGTCGATGTTGGAATCAGTGTCGTTTAGAAGTGTTGACAATCTCTGGGGCTGAGGTGAGGGGGAGTTTTCACAGAGCGAACACCACTTAACTTTTATTTGATGATCCTCGTTGTCCTGTCTTGAGGGATTACTTCTACCTTCATTTAAATGTTTTATATGACCATGGAAAGCATTAGACATTTCATCTGGAATGTATCTAGATTACTCAGGACAGATGTCTGTAGGGCAACCGAGGAATAGACAAATATAATGCACCTGTGTTAAAAAATTGATTTTTTTATTGTTTCAATAATGATTGACACTTTGTAACTTTGTTTGTACAAATAGTGAACTGAAACAATTTCATTTGTTTGAATAGGGGTGTCAAGTATTAGTGGAGGTGGGGGGGGGGGTAAAAGTGCCTTTTATGTTTGAAATAAAACAGTCTGTAATATGAGCATCATTTCAATGTCAGTATCTTTATTACCCAGCCCAGCATCTTAGGACAAACGGCTGACAAAGACAAGTCTGATATCTATCTGTATCGAGTTACAACGCCGCTGATTCCACAAAACACGTTTTCTGCAGTGTTGAACGTTTAACTTATGCACACCGTTCATTTCGAAGATTTGTGTGCTTATGCAGTGGCTTCACATGCACTCACATGAGAGACAGACAAAACAACAAACGGAAAACGCTCCTTAAGGGACTGCATCTTCAGTTTTGACCCGGCACAGCCCTGTTTAACAAAGCCTCTGTAATATGAGAGGGACTGAAGCATGCCGTGAGATGAAGTGAAGAATAGAAAAACTGTAGAATATCATCACACGCAAAGGCTGTCTAATTCTTGCAAAACAAATGCCAACTCTACGCGAGATGGGGGTTAAAGTAAGACAAACTTTTGAAACAATACACATTATAAAACCATCATTTTGGAGCATTTCTTTGTTAATGCCTGCACAGGGTTGGAATAAAAAACCTTTAAAAGACAAATGGACTGTCTCACCTTTTTAAGGCAGATTTTTAAATGCTAATTAAGTGCTGTTATCATTAAGTTTTGCATCGCAATAAAGTAAGAATGTACGACTACTGCAACCCCGATGTTGAGTGAGATTGGATATGAGACAGGCATCACTCCTGTCCCACAAAAAAACATTTTTTATTTCCAATGCACATCGTCCGCAGCTCACATTCATGCCAAACCATGTGGTCAATCTGTGGTCCATACAGACCACAGATTGACTGATCCGTCGCATAATTAGCAATGTGGTCATGTTGAAAAAAATGTTATGCTGTTAAAAACAACGAGGAGATCTAAACTCCAGACAAAGGTAACTGTCAAATGGTGTGCACACTCACACACACCACAGGCGTATGGCTGCGTGGTAGTGGTGTGGAGTCTCTGCTGCGTTGTGCTGACAGGCAAGCAGAAAAAACATTTCACGCCGTGCGTCCTTGCCAAACATGCTCCCAGATGGACTGACTGCACTTTATCCAGCTTCACCCACTCTCTCTCAACACAGGGACCCCAGCAGGCTAGGAATAGGTCGGGAATCAAACTATTTTTTTTTTTTTTTTATGGTAAATGTGAAACAAATGTGAACAGTTAACTGTTTGATCAAGTAAAAAAAAAAATGCCCCAGGAGTGTGATGCTGAAGATGTGGATGGATTGAATTTGTGAGTGTGGCAGGTACTGTTCTGATTTCAAAGAAAGAACGCACTGTTATCCTGTAATGTCAGCTGTACAAAACAGATCAAACAGAATAAGCTAAACTTCAAAAAAAAATCCCAGCATCACGTCTTCAGATGGGATCAAAAAAGGAGTATATCTTTTATATGCACTTTTTCCTCGATGCACTTGTTGTTCTTACCCCATGTGATGGATACGTTAGCCAGCCCCAGTCTCCCGTGTACGTGGTCGTGTCCAGGAGACTCACTGCAGAGGAAGAAGAAGAAAACAAAAACAGAGGAGGTCAGCGATGAACTTTAAATGATTGTTTGTCCCCTTCCTCCCCCATCCATCCTGTCCTTTATCACCATCCTCCTCAGAGAGCAGTGGCACCCGACAGCGTCTCACATACACACACAGACACACACACACACACCTGTCAGACTGGTGTGACTGATGAGGCGGGACGGTTGTCACGGCAACTCTGAGCCAGGTGTCACAGCATGTGATGTCACCTTGACCTGCCTCACCCTCAGAGCTTGGACCTCAGCGGTCCACGTTGAGAATAGAACAGGAAACAAACTATTTCCTAAACAGTGCAGAGTCTCGTCTCAAGAAAGCCAATAAAATATTGATTCAAAATGAAGGTTTAAAATCAAAGTCACCTGCAGGTCAGACAACAACAACCCAGGCATGGCTTTACTTCTTTTTTTTTTTTTAATAGATATTTTGGACATTTATGCCTTTACTGGATAGGACAGCTGAAGACGGACAGAGAATGTTGGGAGGAGAGAGGAGGGGAGGACATGCAGCAAAGGGCAGAGGCCAGGAATACAGCCTCTGCACATGGGGCACTGGACAAAACCACTAGGCTATGTGGCGCCCCGGCTTTCCTCTTTCAAAGTTTTAAACAACAGCTGTGTGTACAGTTTCAATGTACACATTTTAGCTTTGCTTGAGATTGCAGTAAAAAAAAGGAAAAGACAGGGATACCTGTAGCACAGGTGGACAGGTAGATTTAACAGCAAAACAGATCCAATAGAGCTCAGCACGGGCGATTAAAATGATCTTTATGGGGCGCTGGTGGCGCAGTGGCAGTGCACGCGCCCCATGTATGGAGGCTATAGTCTTCCAGGCGGGCGGCCCGGGTTCAAATCCGGCCTGTGGCTCCTTTCCCACATGTCATTCCCTGATTTCCGACTCTATCCACTGTCCTATCTCTCAATTAAAAAGGCACAAAAAGCCCCCAAAAAATAATCTTTAATAAGTTGAAGGCAAGATTCATGTTTAGAGAAACACTAGTTGCAGTGATATCCATGGCAGCTGCCCATTGGGACTAACTAGTTTACTGAACGGACTGAAATGAGATGAAGCTAGGAGAGAAAATAAACACTCTTTTCCACTTGAAAAGTCGTGTATTGAGCGCAAATCTTTTGTCAAAAGATTTTAAAATCCCATAGACGCCCCGTGCCTCTATTGAAGCTGCCTGTAAAAAAATATGCATCTTTGAGCACTTTTGATATCTTGCCACTGACTTTGTTTGCAATCCAAAATTTCACTTGATATTCTGTCTGAACACACCTTAAGATCTGAGTGGCAGGATATTACAAGCAGGAAGGATGGACTGATGGGGGAAAAAGTGGATGAAGAATGTAGTGAACCACTAATTCTACCCTCTGGGGCTGTCCATATCTTGTGCTGTAGCAGGTGTGTGTGTCTCTCCCCTTCAACACTTCCAGCTAATATAATCTCTGCCCCAGGGCTGCTTGTCAAGCACCCAAGTGATGTTCCTCACATTAGAATGAGTTTAACAAAACACTTCACACTTCTTAGCTCTCCGTCTCTCATCCTTCATCTTTCTGTCTGACACTTGCTCTCTTCCCGTCTCTTCTGCATGTTAAAGCTACAATATGCAACTGTTTTGCCTTGAAGCAGGCGGTGAACTGAGAGGCCTGGCCTCAGCTGGCCAAGTTCATGTCTGCATACTTACTATTCATACTGATGAGTTTTCAGATATACAATTGGAGACTAAACTAAAGCAGAATGGTTACATAGAAATGTTGCAAAATGAAGATTCAAGAAGTATTTTCTGAAAAGAAACTGTGTTATTTTTTATAGATCTGTATATCACATTTTTTTGGGGTTGCAGTATCGATTATTTTAGTAATTAACTATTTTATCGACTATTTTTTGGAGTAAAATAATAAATTATTAATGCAGAAGGAAACTCGCTCTCAGCCACTCCACACGTGGAGGTCGGTGCTCTCAGAGACTTGAGATGTACAACAAAATAACCTTAAACCTTAGTCCTTTGCACCTTTATTAAACTCCTCTTTCAAATAAGATACTTTTTTATTAAATGAACAACATTTTCTCAAGTGCAATAAACAAAATATATTTTTACTATACTTAACTAATAGGGCGAAAAAAAAAAAAGTGTAAAATGTTGCACATGCTTCCGTTAAGAGTGGACCGCATGCATAGACTGGATGTCTTCAGTTGAGGTGCTTCAGATTTATCAAAGTGCATATTGAGGTAGGCTAATTCCACTGTCCTATAGATATACTGCACCGTCATATTTTAGTTTCAACATGTAGTGATCCCACACTGGACATGTTCTGTTGTTCCTCCAGGAGTGTCTGTTCTTTTAGCCTCTGGCTATTTCTGCTTTCTCTTCCTCTATGTTTTCTAGTCCCTGCCTCGCATCCATGTCACAGTAAAAGCATGAGCAAGCCCAAAGTGCCACAAAACAACCATCTGTTCAAAGCACAGTGTGCTCTACGGTAAAGTTGACCACGTTTAAACAAGGCGTGGAGGCAAATAATTTGCCCGGAGGCTTTTTAGTGATGGAGGCACTCGAGCGAGTTATTCATTGAATTGTTTCAGCACAGGCAGCAGTACATTTTAACTGTTACCGACAGAAATGCTGAACAATTACAAAACTGAATTGATTTGTAGATGTTGTATTCCCCTGGTAAATAAACTTTACCTTTTTAAGTCCTGATACAATTTGAAGAAAGACACGAAGAGGAAAGAAGAAGAAAGAAGACCGACAGAAACTTCATCTAATAAAGAGACACCAACACAGTTTCCCTGAAAAGAAACATCCCAGTGATGAGCAGAGGTACACTAACCCAGGTGTCATCACTTCGCTCTGATTAAACCTCCTCACTGGAATGTGAGAGCACACATCTGCGTGATTCTCTTGGAGCGGCATTTTAGCCACATGTAATTATTAGAAATTCATCAATCCATCCATTATCTTGGCTGGAGCCGGTCACAGCTGTCATTGGGCGAGAGGTGGGGTACACCCTGCACTGTTCGCCAATCAATCACAGCGCTGACATATAGAGACAGACAACCAGGCCACACTCACATTCACACCTACGGGCAATTTAGAGTCACCAACTGACTTCAAAATATGTCTTTTGACTGTGTGAGGAAGCCGGAGTACCCGGAGAGAACCCACTCATGCACGGGGAGAACATGCAAACTCCAGACAGAGAAACACCTGTCCAACAGGGTTTTAAACCAGGGACCTCCTTGCTGTACCACCATGCAGCCCATTAGAAATACAGAAAAGTAGACAATCCTATCTTCTCAGAAGATGGGTTATGTGATGGCAAGAAACCCCCTATTACTGAGCTACACAACCAGTAAACATCAATATCAAGCATCATTGTTTGGAAAAGTAAAGCCACCTGAAAATATCCAATTCGTTTGTTTCTGTTCTCTGTGGTCTCCATCACATCCTGAGAAAACATACTGTATGCTTTGGTAGCTGCTAAAGAATCTGCTGTCCGAGTTAACAAGTTGTTCATTTTGTTTGTGTGATGTTTGATAGACCCACTGGGTCTGGTGGACTAACCACTGCAGAACTAGCTGCCAATTGCTGTGGTCATTCAGTGTGAATCAATTAATTATCAACAAATTACTTTATATGTAGTTAAAGTTTGGTGACTTTACAAACTCCTAGCATAGCTTTTCCCATCTTCATCCTTAAAAAAAAGATGTACATAATTAGCTAGAATAATTGAAGCCCCTGTGTGGGCTGACAAGGCTTTAACACAAATGATGTTGGGGAAAAAAATCACTGATTTTGCAGATCAGTTTATTAAAAATATACTGGGCAGTCTGGCTCTTTGGTGGCTCCAAATAGCAGGCGTCAGCCATTCTGAAAATAATGAACCTCAATAGCAAGAACTCTCACAGCCTTGGGAAGTTTTTTTTTTCCAAAAGTGTAGAAGCAAGAGCTCTATTCTCACGCTGGTTGGAAGAGAGTTTAGTATTTAACATGGAAGTGTTCATTTGTCACTTCCTGTGGGTCAAAAAGTTCCCAAATTCACAGAAGACAAATAGTTTGAGTTTAAAGGATGCTAATGGGGATAGAGCGCTTGTGTCTGCTGCTGCTCCACTTCATGATTAAGGTTTATAGGACGGGTGTATTTTTCCATGCACATATTGCCAAGTGGAGCCACATGATCTTGGTAATTCTCTGTGAAAAGACTGTTGCTTTCCTCACAAACACACACACAATCACGTGTTGCAATTAGCCGGTGTGTCACTCCTCCTAATTTGAGCACTGGGCCGCTGCGGAGGCCAGTGGGTCAGAACACATAGACAGATGGCGGTGCCACCATCCTCTCATCCCTCCATCCATTCCTCCCCCATCTAGCAGCCTTCTCTCTGCCTCTCTCTCCCTGAGGGCGCCGGCATCCCGCCGTCTCGTATTGATGATGCGACGGCCTCTCGCACTCTATCCAAGGTCGCAAATGGATGCCGCCAATTACACTCCTCTGAGTGCTCTTCATTGGGCCACCGAAGTGACATAATGAAAGCACCGTACTGGGCGCAAGCAGATTTAATAATTCTTCAACATACCGGGGGAATTTTGCTCTGCTATACCGTTATTATTAAAGGACTAAAAAAGGACAAATATATTCCCTCCCTGAACCTGGAAACATGTGAAGGCTGTGTGTTATCGCCCAAGAAGAGTGTGTGTGAAGACCCACAAGGCGTTCCCAGTGGTATTAATTTAATTTCCACTCAAATGAGAAATCCCTCTGTCTTTGAAGGTGGTGGGAGTCATTTATCTCATTTGCTCTGGCTGTCTGAATTATGACTTGTAAACAGGCGATAGGGTTCAGTGGAAAATCTGGTGCCTTGCTTTAATGTGACAAGAACTGTGCAAATAAAACAGAGGACAGCCAGTAATTAGCACTTTTCTTTCTCTAAGCACTTCTGCTCATCCTAATTGAAGGAAAACT